ATGGGGACGAGGGTCATGGACGACACGGGCGAGCTGACGCTGAGCATGGTCCGCGCTCCGTCCTGCATCCTGCGCGCATCCTGCTCATTTTCATTTTCATGACCGATCCTGTGCGCAGACGAATGTCCTTCTGCCCCTCCCGGTAGAGAAGGAACGAGGGGTGGTGTACAGCGAGGAAGTGCTCGTGAAGATCAACGATACGCTAAGGACGAAGCTGCTGTACGAGTGGAACGGGTACGCGGCGCATTACTTCCACGCCGGCGGGTGGTGGTGCCGCTGCAGTGCACAGGTCTGGAACGAGGTGCGGTGCACGTTTGTCTCGCTCCACCGGTTATGGTGGGCTGAAGTAGGACTACGACAGGTCTCCGACTTTGAGTACGTCGGTAAGGCGTTTGTGGCAATCTGCGGAGAGATCAAGGAGACGATACTGGAAGGGAAAGCATGAGAGAAGACGTGGGATTTGTACGTTAGAATTGGTTTACGACACACTTTAACTGCCATCGAAATCAAGACGACCGGGGTTCTGTTATGCAAAGGGCGTGATGGACCGATGCGGGAAATTTCAATCGGACGGGTGCTGCGCCAGACGGTGGCATGGATGCTTTCCGAGATCCCGGGATACTAGTAATCATCCGTTGATGCACTGCCGGCAGAATCAGCGCTAATTATCCGTCTTAGTCGTACTGCGCTAGCACACCGTTTGAAGCGACTTTCTAAATTACACTTCGCGCAGACTTGTCTCTCGCAAAGTCATTCGAGAGCGGCCTTTTCGATGTAACGCGCGCTTTCGTTGAACTTCCTTCGAGATCTCATTGCGCTCGCTCCCACTCTGACGGCCGGCTCGCGCGTCGCCCTCACTCGACCGAACCGTGTTTCCCTTTGGCACGCACACGGCATCGTTGGCTGTGCGAACGGGACCAACCCCACGCCGGGCCAGGAAACCATCATGGTAATTGTCGACCTTGTCGGCGACACGGTTCACACCTCCCGCTTAAGGTTCAAGATGGAACGTGTATACGTAAACGCTGAATGGTATCGTATATGCGCGGAGGAAACAGACAGGAACGATTAGAGAAATAGTCGTTTGCGCACTCGAGAGTGAGCCGGAGTACTGAAGGACAAGACCAAAAGGATGGCGACAGTCCGGCGACGGAATTTTCGTGGCTGAAAACATCGACTTGCAATTGGTCTCGGCGGCAATGTGTGGCAGCGGCGGCACGCCGAATTGGAAGTGGGGACATAGAGGATGCATTCATCCATTCATCTCCATCCATACTCGGCGCCTAGTCTCCATATATCAACTTCTGGGCTGTACTGCACTGGCCCGGCGAGTCAGAACGGGCTAGTGTGAACCGATCGTGACGGGGGCGAGGTGGGATACTACAGCCAATTTCAGACACTTCCCTTTCGCTAACGTCACTCGCTGACTGGGCTATCGCAACGCTGTGAACAGTGTGTCCACGCATGTCGTGGACACCTTTGGTCGAACCTATCAGGGTCATTCATGGAGTACTTGAGCATCTCGGCCAAGCGGAATCCAAGCTGGAATCCAGCCCGAATCTACCTCGGAATCACTTGCCTCAGGGTGCGCATCAGAATGCGCCTTCGATGTTCGGTTCAAGTCACTGACATCATCAACTTTGTGGAGTGGGTACCGCCGCATCATGATGCTCTGATTCTCAGCACGGTCAGCCGCCTCACTCACTGCGTGGTAAGACACAAAAACATCTTTCATCTCTAACTCCGTGAGAATCAAGATGGCGTTGTTACTGATCTTGCAAACAGTTCTTCAGCCTTGAGTGCGTATTAAAGGAGGAGGAGCCTGAGGAGGATATCTTCTAGCAAGACTCGTTGCGCCGAGCCTTACTCCCGGAGCCATTCCAAGTCCTACTCTCAAGTGCTACATCTCACGTTCGCAAAGTCGGTCCGGATCCAAGATGCCATCCATCGGCTCATCATCTATTGAAGAGTTCATGGGCGGACTTATAGTCTGCATAGATATTGCTATCCTGTACGTTCCTTCCCTCTCCTTCCTACTTATCCCTGTCTACTCACGACACCTTGATATCAAGTCTGTACGGGATCGTCACCGCACAGACATATTTTTATTGGTGGGCATCACATGAGGACTCGAAATTACTTCGCTCCTTGGTCGCATCTGTATGGTAAGACCCCTGGACTCATCCGCACGACATCTTCCCCATCATACTGTGTTGTTTCGAAGGTTTCTGGAGACATTACACACGCTGTTCTGCATCCACATGGCTTATTACTACACGATAATCAGCTTTGGGGACATGAACGGTGTTCGTCAGTTGGTTTGGTAAGCTTTGCTCATGTCTTCTGAGGTCCTGAAATGACGCTTGGCTTTCGCTCTAGGAGTGCCGCGGTGCGTTCAGACACTTTATGATCCTCCGCTGGTTCGAAATAGTAAACCATATCCGGCATGCAGGCTACAACGTTCACAGAGGTCAGTTTACTGTCATGGGATCGGTTCCATTGCATACTCAATAATTGCCTTCGAGCGCAGGTCCTCATCATAGGCTCGGTTCAGAGGTAGGACCTTTATGTGTTCCCTGGCAACGTCTCATAATCTTCTCGCTAAGCTATTTGATCTGGCGAACCTGGATATGTGCGTAACCGCGCACTCTCATATGTACTCATTGTGTTTATATATGTTCGCAGTGAGTCGAAGATCTATGGCTCTGATCGCCGTACTGGTAAGTCTTCTTCTGAAAGTGGAACATATTTGAGCTTGAGTATCGCAAAGGCAATCGTGCTCTTCATGCGCATCGGTGTGTGCGATTGTTATTGTCTTGACCCTAATCTAACAAAGCCTTTTTCAGCGGCCGGGTTTGGTAGGGATATAATCATAGCCTCCGTCACGTTCCATGTTCTGATTTATTTTATGACCTCCGTTATAGCCGCAACGAGCTTCATGTGCGTCACCTACTAGCACTCATTTTTCAAGCCATTTACTTTCAGTTTGGCATAGGTGGGAAATTGATACTTGGGCCAAGTTTGCAACATTCTATGGAGCGAGGGTATGCTGTGGAGCTGAATAGTGATATGATAAAGATTATTGACAGTGGCGTCGTCTTCATGGCAGATTGCGTGTACATGCGCCCTCGTCCTGTCAGGAGTTCTAGACGCCCTCATCGCTCTCAGCCAGATTTACTATCTTTGGACTAGCCGCACAGGCTATCAGGTGTGAGTATCTACTGCATTCTTTGAGATTAGCATCTGGACCACTTTTTACATTTGTTAGGACAGATAATTTAGTTCGGAAGCTGATGACCTACGTTATCAACACCGGTGCTTTGACGATGTAAGTCGAGTCCGAGTCTGCCCGTTTTATAACATGTTGACTCACGATCCTGAAGGTTCGTTACGATGGCAGCTATAGCGACGGTATGAACCCTAGTCGACATTATGTGCCTCCTTTTCTCACACATGCTCTTTCAAGTTTTGGGCACCAGCCTTGAGTGGGAGAAGTCTGGTTTTTGTTGGATTGGTCGAGATTCAGAGCCAACGTGAGCATTCTTCAAGATCTAGCCATTTCCTTCGCTGACATGCTGCGAAAGTTTATGCGAACACGCTGATTGCAGCGTGCGGCGTCGTTTCCATGGCTTGTTTTAGATTGCTAACGCTTGACCCTCTTCTAGGCTGAACACACGACAGCACCACGGCCTCGCAACTGGACGACAGCATTCCTCTAATCTGGTCGAGATCGGGCTTCATCCTGTGAGCCGTAGATTGTCCAGACCAGTACGCACAGTCTTTCCTACGAGTTCTTGGCAAGTCCCCTCTTATTGACGATGTCGGACCAGCAAAACATCCAGATACTATGTGAAACGACGGAGATCACCGATCATAGTATAAGCAAGGACAGCGCAAGTGGAAAGGATTAGCATGGCGTACTGGATGCTACTGTTGTAGCGTTGACAGTTCCAATCGGTCTCGATTTGACACGAATGAGATTTTTTGGGCATGAGGATCACATGAATTTCGATTCGCATTTGGAAGAGATATTGTATCACGGTCTCTCAGACTGTAAGGCACTCTGCAACGGCTCCCTCTTTCTGCTGCACGACTCTGACAATTCTGAATGGACAAACTTTTCGAAATACTGTACTTTATTTACTCACGCTCTGTTACATACTTTCCTTACACGGTAACTCCGCTGCGTATCGTTAGAAATGCCAGCGCGTCGACTTCCCTCAGTCCCCGATTACCATATCCCGGACGGAGGTACGTTCAGTATTTTCTGAACGTACCTATGTATACTTGTACTGATTCATACACAGTCTCTCTTTGTGATAGGTACGTCCTGGGCAACCGGTTTCACAGTACGCAGAACAGTACGGAGCCATGGGAACCGCATACTGTAGGCTGCGCGCAGAGCTCCCGCATACCTGAGAGCACCACTACCGCCCTGCCGATGAGTCGACGACGACTGCAACGCAACAATTAGCACGGTTAACACGGGTGGTTCCGGCGAAGGGACGTACGGATGCCGACCGCGCCCCCAGCGCAGCAGCCGTGCACGCGGCATGCGAGCACGTCGTACAGCTGCGCGGTCGGAATCGATGTGCAGCAGTTCCGAGACGGATTCGGATTGGGGTCTGGACTGGTGTGGTATCCGGTATCCGCCCTTTCGATCGAGCCGCCATGCGAGAGAAGCGCATGCAAACGAAGGGCGGCCAGCTTGTGAATGAGACATTTAGTGCGATGACTCGATCGGCGATGGCCATCTCTCGCCCTAGCTACAGCCAGACTTGGATATTAATGGTGCTCGAGTGGAGATGTATACGTACGTGTTCTAGCCAGGGCTGATCGTGGCAAGAGTGCTTCTAGCAATGTGGGTCTATATGCTAAGGGTTCCACGTAAGTACACCGTGTCTACGACGAGGTCGGTCAAACATGCGAATGGGGTAGGTGCTGCCTGAGCATGTGCGCTCATGCGCCGCTAGTAGATTCCACAACCTCTCCGACGGACGAACTGCGCCCCGCACCATCCAGATCCAGCCCT